ATGAAAAACTTCCGAGGTTCGCTACTATTTTCAAGCACGCGAGAGCGAGTACGTGAAGTAATAGTGCTGCAGACATAGAAATTTTTAATCAACGCACGATCGGGGACGAATGAAAAAGTTATACCTGTGAATTTTCATGATTATGAAATCATTAGTCCGAAGCAACTGTGAAACGATTGCATGATAAACATTTTTCTAACGAAAGATATTTTTCATTATTACGTGATTATAAATAAGGCGTATAAAAAAAAAGATCAAATGCATTGATATCAAAAAGCAATGAATAAATGAGCAAAATTTGTATGTTTCATTTTGCAATATTTTGTAAAATACATATCTAATATATTTAAAAAGAATTTTATGCATGTTATTTTATTAAAAAACATGGGCAACAAAAAATAATAGAAAGAGAAATATTTATTAACGGACATCCTTATATTGTGCGATGTATATATTATAATAAATTCTTAAATTTTATATTTATGACAAACATATTTTTGAATTTTATATTTTTATATTTTTACTTCTGCAGTATTCATTATAATTTAATTACATTTTTATTTCAACATATTTCAAATATTCTATTTCTCTAAGAAAAGTGTTTAATCTAAATGGGAATTAAAAATAGAGATTGTAAATACAATAAATCTTTCTCTCCCTCCCCCCCCCCCTCTTTTCTCTCTATCTATTTTTTTTGCATGTTATTTTTATCGCGCATTTTTTATAATACATCAATTTATTCTTTTTAAATATTCTATATACATGCTTTACAATAAATTGCAAAACTGCAAATACCGTAACAAGTCTTAATATACGTGAATTAAATGAAACAGTCAGATGAAGAATTATTATATAAAAGCATGTTAAATAAATAGACCATTTGTCCGCCGCAGATTAAATTTTTTGCAAGATTTGCGTGAATGTTAGGTGGAAACGATTGACAAACGCATTAACTCTGGAAAAGTCACAATAGTGATAATTACATCTGCCACGAACACGTCGAGCTCTGTGCCTATAAGGAATCTCTCTGATATATATGTGCTGAGATCAAAATGGTCGATGCAAAAATCATATTTCCGTAAAACGTTTCGCAAGGGAAACGAGGCCTCGGCTGATATATGTCCGAGCCTTACCACTGAAAATCTGGGATGCTCGGTTCTTCTTCGCACAATTGGGAGATTTTCAAACAGCCCGACATTCATGACAGACGTCATTTTTTATTCCCATCACTCAGCAGATAAGAGTATCCACGTGTTTTCTGGAATAGGGAGAGAAGGGAAAGGGAAGAGGACGAAAGAGAAAGGAAAACGAGCGATACACGAGATCGATAATCCTCGCCGGAGGGTTATTCCGCTAGCCCGACGCGGCTCGTGTATTAATCGTGGATGAAAAAAAAACACAGTTCAGTTCGAAACGCGAGCACGATGAACGGCATTTACATAGGCAATTCGCGACGCGACGGTAATTGTAAACGCATATCCGCGCCAGATGGTCCGCGCGATTTTATCTTGAAAAGCCGGCAAAAAGGCTCGTTGTCCGCCACGAACGAAATTCATGGCGCAACATTTATGGTATAGCGACGCTCAGCCCAGCGTTCTCTCTGCCGCGAAAAGATAAAAATTTCGTGAGAAAAGCGCGCACGCGCGCGGTAATATTTCCTTCGCAAATTTATCTGCTGTTATTCAAGCGCGATGAAAATAAACGTCACTCGCGACGGTGCAACGTGTGGCGCACTCTCCTTGATCGAAATCAACACAGGGGTAAACACGAGTCGCGTGTCGACCGATTAATCAGAACGCACATACTTTTAATTCGCGCGCTTTTGCATACATGTTGACCACGCCACTGTTCATTTGACGCCGCGAGAGGCAGCGGTGCGAGATACGCACAGCTGCATCGTATTTATGGAGTTGGCCGGCAAAGTGAGCGAATATATCACTGCGAATATAGTATCGTATTGGGTAGCCACAAATTCGCGTTCCGTACTTCATATGATGCAAACCCTCATCATCTTGTAACTGATCTCGGTTACGAAACTGTCAATACATCAATTATTAAGTAGTACTAATAAAAATTTTAAATACCTTCGAATTTCCAACCCGATTAAAGCGACATTTTATTTGTTTGTCTAAAATTTATATCGGGAAACATTATTTTTATGTTATTTGTTTTCACTTACTCATAAATTATGTTGTTTTAACACTAAGAAACATTAAATATCAATTTAATACAAAATATTCAAATAACGTAATCACTTATGTTAAATTAACATTTGGATATATTAAAAGTTCGACACAAAATTTTAATAAAGACTTGAGGGGATCGTTTCTAACACAAATATAAAATGTTTTATATATATATATATATATATATATATATATATGGACATATTTTAT